GGATATCTTCGAGGGAAAAATCTACTTTAAATAGTGACATTTGTGTGTGTGTGTAGGTAGCACATTCTTAGAATTCATAACAAAATTAATTCAATAGTCAAGTGCTAGGTGTGCACATATGGTCCCAGCTACTCCTGAGGCTGAGGGAGGAGGATTACTTGAGCCTAGGAGTTCAAGTCCAGACTGGGCAATATAGTGAGAGCCCATCTTTAACAAATGAACAAAAAAATAATTAATTCTGTTATCTTGGGAAGAATTTTCCAGAGATCTTCTCTTTTGTAGCAATGGCAAGAAGGCAGTGGAGCTTTACCTCCTCTTTTTCTCTCGACATGGTGATTCCTCTGATGGATCTGGGCAAATTATTTTGACAACTTTTATAAAGCATTCACCATTCCAGGTGCCATTAGAAACATTTGTGATTCATGGGAATAGGTCAGTATGTCACAGGAATTTGGAAGAAGTTGATTCCAATCCTCATGGATGACTTTGATGAGTTCATTATAAAATGACAACAAAGAATTTAGGATATTACATAAATGTAGTTGATAAACCAGCAGCGGAGTCTGAGACAACTGACATCAGTTTCAAAAGAAATTGTACTCCGGGGAGGCGGAGGTTGCAGTGAGCCAAGATCGCGCCACTGCACTCCAGCCCGGACAACAGGGCAAGACCCTGTCTCAAAAAAAAAAAAAAAAGAAATTGTACTGTGGGCAAAATGGTATCAAACAGCATGGCCTGGTACAGAGAAATCTTTCATGAAGGTAAGAGTCAACTGATGGAGCAAACTTCATCGCTGTCATCTTAAGAAACTATGTCCATATGTAGAAGAATGAAAATAGACTCCTCTTATTGTATTAAAAAATCAACTAAAAATGGATTAAAAACTCAAACATAAGACCTGAAACTACAAAACTACTAGAAAAAACATATGGGAGATCCTTCAGGACAAAGATTTTATGGCTAAAACCTCAAAAGCACAGGCAACAAAAACAAAAATAAATCAATGAGACTATGCATTAAACTATATAGCTTCTGCCCAGCAAAGGAAACAATCAACAGAGTGAAGAGACAACCTGTAGAATGGGAGAAAATATTTACAAACTATTCATCAAACAAGGGACTAATATACAAGGAACTCAAACAATTCAACAGCAAAAAAAAAAAAAACAAAAACAAAACCCAAATGATCCCAATAAAAAGTAGGCAAAGGACATAAGTAGACATTTCTCTAAAAAAGACATACAAATGGCAAACAAGTATATTTTAAAATGTTCAACATCACAAATCAGGGAAATGCAAATCAAAGGGACAATGAGATATCATCTCACCACAGTTAGAACGGCTAGTAGCAAAAAGACAAAAAAAAATAACAAACGATGGGGAGGATGTGGATAAAAGAGAACTCTTATATACTGTTGGTGGGAATGTTAATTAGTACAGTTATTATGAAAAATAGTATGGCGATTTCTCAAAAAAACTAAAAATAAGCCAGGCACAGTGGCATACACCTGTATGTAGTCCCAGCTACTCAAGAGGATGAAGTGGGAGGACTGTTTGAGACCAAGAGTTCAAAACTAGCCTGGGCAACATCCCAAGAGTCTATCTCCTTAAAAAAAAAGTCTGAAAACAAAGCTACCACATGATCCAGCAATCCCACCACTGATACTTATCCAAAGGAAAGAAAAGCAGTATATCAAAGGGATACCTGTACTGTCATATGTATTAGAGTACTATTCAACAATAACCAAGATACAGAGTCAACCTAAGTGTCCAATAATGGATAAATGGATAAAGAAAATATGGTATAAGCCAGATGCTACCATACCTAAAGTCCTAGCTATTTAGGAGGCTGAGGCAGGAGGATTGTTTGAGCCCAGGAGTTCTAGGCTATCCTGAGCAACACAGCAACACACTGTCTCTAAAAAAATAAAAGAGTATGTGATGTCTGTGTGTATATATATACATATACACCCACATACAGACACATAATGGAATACTATCTAGCGATAAAAAGAATGAAATCCTGTCATTTGTAGCAATGTAAATAAAACTGGAGGTCATTATGTTAAGTTAAATAAGCCAGGCGCTGAAAGACAAATATCCTATGTTCTCACTCACACGTGAGAGCTAAAAAAGCAGATCTCACAGGGGTAGAGAGTAGAATGGTGGTTACTAGTGGTAGTGTGGAGGGTGGTATTGAAGAGCAGTAGATTAATGGGTATAAACATATAGCTAGATAGAAGATATAAGTTCTAGAGTTCAATAGCACAGTAGGGTGACTACAGTTAACAACAATATATTTTATATTTCAAAATAGCCAGAAGATTTGAAATGTTCCCAATAGAAAGAAATGCTAAATATTCAAGGTGACCAGTATCTTCAATACCCTGATTTGATGATAACACATATTTTATGCATGTATCAAAATATCACATGCCTCATAAATGTATATCTAAGTATGTAAAATTATTATGTATCCATTTTTTAGGGAACAAAAAAGAAATTGCCATGGCTAACGCAACCTTCAGCCACCACCACCCTGATCAGTCAGCAGCCATCAACATCAAGGCAAGACTCTCCACTAGCAAAAAGGTTATGACTCACAGAAGGCTCAGATGATCGTTAGCATTTTTTGGCAATAAAGTAAATAAAGGTATGTGCATTTTTTGACATAATGCTCCCACAACTTAATGGACTACACTATAGTATAAACATAACATTTAAACATACTGAGAAGCCAAAAAATTCGTGACTCACTTTCTTGCTTATGTAACAAAAACCCAATCTGAGTAGAAACAGAGCCCATTATAAAGGCACAGAGCTGTTTTATACAAGCCAATAGGAGGAATGAAACCAGGTCCCAAGCAGTTATGTAAATCAATCTGGATGTAAACTAAATACTCAGAAGGGGTCATCTGCAAGATAATTTAATGAAGAGACTACAGAAATGTGTACAGGTTAACAGATTCCAAAAGGTATGATGAGGCACCAAGAGCAAGCTAGAGTAGAAAACGAATATTATGTCTTAGCTAAAAGGTCAAGTGGAGAGAATGTCACCATAGTCCAACAAGAGCCACAGCCATGAGAGAGGGTCCACCCAACAGGCACTGCGGCTGCTGAAAAATGAAACCACTGCCAAAAATGCAGTGGAGCAGAGGAAGCAGAGGAAATAAATATCTTGACTGCTTTCTTCTCTCATTCCCTTAATCTCCTGTGGGTGCACCTACTGTCCAAACCCAACCAGAAGCCAGAAGGCAAAGGAGCACAGATCCACAGAAGTCAGCCTCCCAAGGCACACAGCAAAACGGAGAACAGAGGAGAATGGATCAGTGAGGGAAGAAGGGTGCAAAAGAGAGAAAAACCAGCACAAAATGGAAACATGTTACCACTCTGTAACAATCCAAAAATCACTAATTCACTAGCACGGTCTTTCCCAGAAACACATTCCCTGTAATATACAAAGTATGCATCTATACAGAAAATTAGGAAGATAAAAAAAGGATGGTTAATAAAAGAATAAAAATAAAAATTTTAATGGAAAACTCTGTACGCTTAGTAATAACTTATGAGTTGCTTTGTTACCAACTATTTTACTTTAAAACTCAAACGAGACATGACCACATTATTCTTAGCTTTTCTAATTCAACTCTGAAGAAATACTAAAATAATATTGAGGCATATGATATACTATGACAATATTTAACAATTTTTAAAGATCCTAACACCATGAAACACCACTGATACATCTCAATAATAAAAAAGTATCAGTGCAAAGGAAAATTTTCTCCTCCAAAGCTGCAATAAATATAATTGAAACTGGATACCTATACCTACTTTTATGACACTTTTATATCCTTTGATTTGTCCATGATAACAAATTATGATACAGTAATGCTTTTGGGAAAAGTTTACATAAAAACAAAGATAGTTACATATTAATTTCATAAAAGCTAAAAACATAGAGACTTAAAACATAGACAATAGCAAAGCACACTACATTTCTAATAGCTTACCAACCGAGAAATCTACAGATCCAGAAGGTAAAATATGAGCCTTGATGAGGTCCTTCCAAGTTTTCAAGGACAAAAACTTCCTGCACTGAAGAGTTATCTAAAGAACTTATTTGCCAAATTGCTGTTAGATTCCTTTTAAATTTTGTTTTTTTAAAAAAACAGTCCTGCAGCTCAATTTTTAAGAGTGAGAAATTTAATTTTATGTGCCTCCTGAAGAACAGAATTGTGTTAGAAGACCACCAAATAATTCAAGGCTGACAGTAGGGCAAAAGAAAACTGAGGTAGAAAAGTATTTATGTCAAAGCTACTATAGCACACATAATAACATAAACACAAAACACTAAGAAAGTGGAAATAGTGAACAGAATTCATTAGCCAACCATTGCTTTTGCTAGTTCTCAAAATATGTCTACCTAATTAATATACAATTTTATAGCTCTTTATCATATGAAGTGGGCTAATAACTACAACTAAAATATTTCACCTAAGCATTCTTATCTGGACAGTATATGTATATGGCAGTAGGAAATGAAAACCAGCTTAGAAAACCGGTTTGGAAAGTATAGAACATGCGCTATGCTACAGCCTGTGTCCTACATAACCTTTTAAATGCATGACCTTTAAGTTGCTGAAGGTTGCCTCAGAATTTGGCTCAGTTTGATCGAAACATCTGTTCCCCTTGCAGGTATACTGTAAGGACTTTTTTCTCAGTTGGATTCAGAACACAGCAAGTGAGCCCTTGTCTGTCCAATCACACAGACCCCAACACTTGTAAATCAAGTTCTGGGAGGACAACAGCAGGTCCACATTCCGTCACCCTTTCTCAGCCAGCTAGGCCAACTGACTGCTGTGAGAACTGCTCTTATCATGTCATCAAATCAAAACATGTTGAGATGAGGGACTATAAGAGGCATCTGCAGAATTCCCAAAATGTAGTGACTTTGGAACACTGACAGATGCATCTGTCATTTTATACCTTCAACTAACCTGATGTCCACTGGCCCGACACAGTAAAGCTGTCCAAGATCGATTCCAATTCTTTCACGTTATTTTCACATGTCTCTACTAGGAAGGCCTGGTGCTTCTTAGCCTTTTAATTAAGAAAAAGAATTACACATAATAAGGTCACGTATTATAAGAGGGGCAGATTTTTAGTATGAACATATATAACACAAGTATAAACAAGATAATGATTCCATTCAAATATATTATTAATAAACCATCTTTCTCTCTTAATCCTACCTTTTACTTGGCTTAATGTAACACTGTACAAGGTCTTATTAACAATTTACTGAGGAGTTAGTGCTGGCACTATTCTAAGTGTTTTATATACAGTGATTCATTTTATCCTCACAATAACCCTATCATGGAAAGGCTATTATTATCCCAATTTTAGAGATAAGAAAACTGAGACAGAGGAATTATGGAACACTTTAAAAAATCATGACTACAGTCATATGGCAAGTTGCCAGACGGCAGTCAAAAGTGAAGACAGTTAAGACCAATCTGAAGTTACTGCAGCAGTCAAGTGATAGTAGCTTGGTCTAGGGTATTGACAGTGAAAGGAGAAAAGGGGTAGGGAATGGAAGCAGTGGACAGAGACTTAGAAGGTAGAATGGCCAGACTTTAGTAAAATTGCATTGGGTTAGACCACACTGATTGGACTGGACTGAACTGGATTGGATTGGATGAGGATAAGGGAAGTACTGAGAAAAAGAAGAGTTGACACTGATTCCAAGGTTTTAAGTTAGATGAACTGGGTGGATTTCAGTAGTTGAATCAGAATAATGATGGTAGAGGGGGTCTTGTTTTGGCTATTTTTGTTTGTTTACTTGCTTGCTTCTTTTTGGCAGGAGGTATCGATCATGAATATTGTTTTAACCATATTCCACTAGAGATACCTAAGACACTCTGCACCAGCACAATGCCTGTCAAGTAACAGGTCCCAAATAAATATATTTGAATGAACAAATGACAAATAAAGTAGAAAAATATGGGAGGTGGCTGAATATAATTGGCGTAAATGTTAGAAGTAGGGTCAGCTATAGGTTTGGGAATCATCTATAGATACTGTCTGAAACTTGCCTTAAAGTGTTTGATGGGAAATGAAAAGAGCCTAGGACAAGTCTTACGGAACTCCAGCAATTTAATAGACAGAAAAGAAGTCAGCAAACAACACTAAAAAAAGAAAAAGAAAAACAGAAGGGGATAACGTCATGAAAACCAAGATGTGGGAACATTTCAAGAAGTTCAAGAAGAAAGTTGTCAATCATGCCAATTCAAGCAAAATGGAGACTAAAAACTGGATCCTGGGGTTGGAAGTAATTGGTGACCTTGGTGAAATGTTTCACTGTGTTATAATAATTATAACACAGACTGGAATAAGTTAAAGGAGTAAGCCTGAATTTTTTTCTTGACTGAGAGATGAGTAAATAGAAACAGGAAGTTTAGACAACTCTTTCTTGGTAAGAAGGAAGGTGAGATAAAGGGCAGTAGTTGGAAAGGAGGGAAGAGTCAGAGATGAGTTTTGTCTTTATTTAATATATGAGAAACTTAAGCACATTTAAAAGTTGATGTGAAAGGTATGTTTATAGATACAGAAAAAAATGGAAGAATAGATATTATAAAACAAACTTACATCCTTAAAATATGTAAAATTAATTGATGTTTGTTTAGATGTCAGCTCAATTATCACTTCCTCAGAAAAACTATCCTTTACCTACCTGACTATATCAATTCTCTCTCTATCACATTCACCTCAGCACTTATCACAATTATGATTCACTTTTATTTGAGTTGGTCTTTTTTAATGTGTCCATCTCATGGAATTTAAGCTCCATGAAGAGAGTGTCTCTTTTTTTTTTTTTTTTTTTTCACCAGTATATCCCCAGTGTATCCCCTAAGCAATACCTAGTTTCTAAAATAAGTGTTAAGTAGTTAAATTAATTATACCATGTTTTCAGCAGAAAAATCAATTAGGATTCATCCACACAGACTTTAAATAGGAGGACGCTCTTCATCAATGAAAAGATATCTAAGTTATCTTGTTCAGCTAAAAATAAAAAGGGAAGTAGGTTGACAATATGCTTAATATGATGCCATATGTGTGAAGTGTGTGTGTGTACCTATTTGTAAATGCAGAGAATCTCTACACAGAATCTTTTTTTTTTTTTTTTTTTTTGAGACGGAGTCTCATCCTGTATGCGGTGGCACGATCTCAGCTCACTGCAACCTCCGCCTCCTGGGTTCAAGTGATTCTCCTGCCTCAGCCTCCCAAGTAGCTGGAAGTACAGGTACCCACCACCACGCCCAATTAATTTTTGTATTTTTAGTAGAGAAGGGGTTTCACCATGTTGACCAGACTGGTCTTGAACTCGTGACCTCAAGTGATCTACCCGCCTCAGCCTCCAAAAGTGCTGGGATTACAGGGGTGAGCCACCAGGCCCGGCCCAGAATCATTTTTAAAAGTAGTCATTATGGTTGTCCATGAGAAGAGAATCTGGGTGGTTAAAAGAAAGATTTCATTTTTCACTGTAGAACTTTTTTCTATCTTTGAAATCCTGTATCATATGCATCTATTATGTATTCATCAAAAAGTTAGATTTTTTAAAAAGAGTAAAAAGTAAATAAGCCAACAAACAAAAAATGACTTGTCTTTTTTTTTTTTTTTTGAGACAAAGTCTTGCTCTGTCACGCAGGTTATAGTGCAGTGGCACAATCTCGGCTCACTGCAACCTCCACCCCCTGGGTTCAAGTGATTCTTGTGCCTCAGCCTCCTCAACAGCTGAGACTACAGGTGTGCGCCACCACACCCAGCTAACTTTTGTGTTTTCAGAAGAGACAGTGTTTCATCATATTGGCCAAGCTGGTCTCAAACTCCTGGCCTCAAGTGATCCACCCGCCTTGGTCTCCCAAAGTGTTGAGATTACAGGCGTGAGCCACCACACCTGGCCAAAAACTCACTTTACCATGGCAGATAGACACGCGGGCTGTTATTGTGATATAAAACACTCAAGAAGTCCAGATGGAGACTTCTGGAAATTAGCAAAGCACAGACTCACAGGTCAATGTAAGGCTGGGTGCAATGGCTCACTCTTGTAATCCCAGCACTTTGGGAGGCCAAGGCAAGAGGATCAAGCCCAGGAGTTCAAGGTGAGCCTGGGCAACATAGTGAGATCCCATCTCTACAAAAAAAACAAAAAATCAGACAGGCATGGTGGCATATGCCTGTAGGCCCCAATTACTCAAGAGGTTGAGGTGGGAAGATTGCTTGAGCCCAAAAAGTCAAAGCTGCAATGAGCATGACTGCGCCACTGCACTCCAGCCTGGGCAACAGAGCGAGACCTTGTCTCAAAAATAAAATAAATATAATACAACATAAATAAGTCTAAATAAAATATATTCTTGCTAATGGCAATCAAAGTTTACCTTAAAAAAACATAGTATTTATAAAGCACCAAGTTTATATATACATATAAAACATATATTTATAGGTATTTTTAACTATTAAATATTTAAATATTCTATTAAATTATTTAAGTATATTATGCTCAGAGTAAAAAAAATATCAAATAGAGAAAAATAAAAGGTAACTCGAGTTTTATTCACAGTGTGTTTTATAATTATAGGATATATCTATATATAATTTTTTAATTCAAATGGGATCATAATATACACACTATTATATTACTTTCTTTTCCATTCACAGTATGTTTCACATCTCTCCACGTCACAAACTTTTTTAGCTGTATAGTACTCCACTGGTCATATATACCATAAATTAACTTAACCAGTCCCCCCTACTGCTAATATTTTTTAGGTTTTTGGCAGTTTTTTTGCTATTAGGGACAACACTACAATATACAATCTTCTATATGCTCTTTTTATATTTTGCATGCACATTAAGTATATCTACTCTATAAATTCCTAGAAATAGATTTGATGAGGCAAAGGCAAACATACTGTTTTCAGACAATTGTTAACAAATTACTCTCTAATCAGTTATACCAATGGATACTACCATGAATGGTATGAGTACCTATTTCCCAATATCTATCCAATAGTAGGCATTACCAACTTATTTAATGTACATTTACTTCATTTTAATTAAGATTAGCATCCTTTCATGTTCACTAGCCATCTACATTTTTTTCTGTGCATTGCCTGTTCATATCATGTGCCCATTTTTATATTATATCATTCATTTCTTCCTTAGTGATTTATAAAAGCGCTCTGTAGCTTATAAAAGCAATCTTTCTGTTACATATTGCAAATCATTTTTTCTCATTTCTATTTGCCGTCTTAAAACAAAATTATATTTTTCAAGCGATAAATATATTTATATTATATGTATTTTATATAAATATATTTATATAATACATATTCTTAAAACAAAATCATATTTTTCAAGTGATTGAGTGTGCAAATCTATAGCATGCTTTAGGACTTCTGAGTTTTGTGTCATATTTTCCTTTTACTCCAAGATGACAGAACAATTCCATTTTTCTTCCAGCGCTTTTTCATTTTCCTCTTTTATGGCTCTTTGATCAATCTAAAATTTGTTTAGTATAAGCAATGCGTCAGGGATTTAGTCATATTATTTATCATTATAATATAACAAGTTGTCTAGAAACTATTTGTGAGATAATCTATCTCTAAACATTGATTTGGCATACCAACATTATCATATATCAAATTCTCATACATACTGATAGCCATTTTTGAACTCTCTACTCTGTTTCATTGCTTTCTCCATTATTTTGTCAGTAACAAACTCTTAATTGTGGTAACTTTATATATTTTTTTAAACTTGACTGAGACATAATTGACATAACATACAACTCACCCAATTAAAGTGTTTAATTTAATGTGTTCAGTATTTTCACAGGGTTGTACAACTATAACCACAATCTAAATTTAGAATAGTGTTGTCCCTACGAAAAGATGTGCCACACCCACTGACTCTCACTCCCCATTCTCCCACCACTACCCCCAAGGCCTAAAGAATCACCATTCTCATTTTTTTTGTTTTTCTTGTTTTGAGACGGAGTTTCCCTCTGTTGCCCAGGCTGAAGTCAATTCATTCTTCGG